TTTTCCCCCCAAACTCCTAATTATACAGAATTAATCATAAAGGACAATAAAGGACAATCATAAACTTCCTAAAACAGCTTCACACGTTCAAAATTTCCCTCCTAACTTTCCCCCTCCAGCTCCACGCGGATCGCGCCTTCCGCCCGACCCGTCCGTCTCCGCCTCGCGTAGAATTGGACCGGTCCCTGTTGGACCGGTCCAACCGGCCCAGGATGGGCCGGTCTAACATAGTATCTAGTGATAGATATTAAGTTAAGTGTTGCAGAGATGAGGATGTCCAGGTGAATGAGTGATAGGATACAAAGCAAGCATATCTTTGAAAATGGTGGAGTAGCTCTAGTGAAAGATAAGATTAGACAGAGTCGTCTTAGATGATTTGGTTATGTAAAACGACGGTCTTCTGATGATCCTGTTAGGAGAGCATATGTATTAGATTAGGCCTATGTTAAGATAGGTGGAGATAGACCTAAAAAGGCTTGATTATGAAATATTAGAAATGACCTTTCTTTATTAAATTTCAAAAAAAAAAAAACATTTCTTTATTAGATTTAAATGAGAATTTGACACTTTTTTTTTGGATATTTAGGCCATTTAAGGCAAACTCACACACAAAACGCATACACATAGACTCAAACCCTAGACCTCTTAGTTGGAAGCCTAAGCTCTCAACCAATAGGCCAAGGAGAGCTGTGTAGAATTTGACTCTTAACAGGACACAATAGAGAAAAATGATTCATGTATAAAAAAAAAAAGTGGGATAAAGACTTGTTGTTGTTGTTGTTATTGTTGATTAATGATTATACTTATAGTATGATCGCATGTTAGAATTAGATTAACTTAAAATGTTCAATTTATTATAAAAATAGAGATAATGAGTGATATAAATAAAATTAAATAAAAAAAAAAATGAATCTACAGCAGAAAAATTTAGGAATTATTTGTAAATTAAAAAATAGGAATGATAATTTTAAAAGCAGAAACTAAAATGTTCATCATGATAATCAAATAAGGCTTCGTTTGGGACGGCTTTTTTACTGCTTTCTAAAACGGAGTTTTAGTACAGACACTTGCACATGATCAGTGAATCTATGCAGCAGATACGAAAATCAGTAATCAATGCATGATCGATACAATCCACAATCATTGGTAAAAGAATCGATAAACAGTAGGAAGAAATCAATAAAATTCAATAAATCAGTACATACGTCAAATCTCGGAAGAATCCATAAACAGTAGAAAAATCTATATTCGGAAGAATCTCAGTTAAATCGATCAGTTACATCGATAGAGAAAAATCGTCGTCTCGATAATATCAGTTAAATCAACATCGTATCAATAGAATCAATCATCTCTGGTCAATAATATCAATTGGTATGAAATCATATAAACAATCAAACCAATACATCACAAGAACAGTTAAAATCAAATCAATACAGTAAAACCTATTCCATAACAGTCAATGAATCACATGCAGCAGTTCAATATGGTGTATCAATGAAGCAATAATATCAATGAATCAATAGTATCCATGTCCATAGTATCAATAAGTCAATGCAATATCGATATCCATATCAGTATCAGTATCAATGCTCAGTGACATAATGCGAATATCAATGAAATCGTACAGTAACAGTGAATCCGTAAATTCGTCAATAAATAAATTTCAATACAAATCCGTCGATATCAATAAATTCATGAATCCATAATGAGATCAATAGGTCAATACCGTACACATGCAATTCAATACAGTAGTCTTACTGAACAAGTACAATCAATGGCTATTAAGGCGTTTTTCAAGTATCAATTTATCGTTGTATCCATTGTGTTGTTATATCCATATCCATATATCCGTTGGCTCAATAATAGAGCCGTCACTCTTTGCCCGTCGGCCGCCCATCGGCATAATATCTCCTTATGACTCCCAATCATTATATCAATGATCAATAGAGGATAACATCAAACCCTTTTTAAAGGAAAGCCCGTCGGCCCACCATCATGTACAGGTCAAGTCAATATCCAACCAACGGTTCAACCAGTTTTCACTTGTCTTTCAGTAACAATAACAATAATTCAATCATATATTCACGTTCGTATGCATATCCATAAGGTATTGCAATCAATAAATACAATTTAGCTCAATGCAGAAAAACCCCTTAAAATATCGTATAGTAGACAAACGTCGTTGCAAAAATGCACAGTTGCCAAAAATTACCGAATTACCAGAAATCGAATAAAACAACGTTTCAAAACTTGTACTGAAGCAATAATTTCCAACATCCTGATAATTTTCTATTCGATAAAAATCACACAGAACTCAAAATACATGGCAAAAACTTTACAGAAAATACTCAAATCGTGTAGAAATATTATTTCAAATCTTGGTAAAACTTTCGTCAATACAAAATTATGCACGTTTTTCGGTAACAGAAACACAAAACTGAGCACAGAATTATCAAAACTCGAAATCTTTGAAATCAGAAATAGGATTCAGAGTCCTTATTTCGAGACAAACAAATCTTCCAACTGCGTCGTCGGACAAAAAGCGCTCCGCGGCCTCCGAAACCAAGCTTCTTCTTTCTCTTTCCTTCTCTTTCTCTCCCCTGCCTTTTTCTCTCTCTCCAAAATAATTCCAAAATATCTCAAATCCGATACTTATCAAACAGGATGGTCCAGGACGATGCCCAGATCGTCCCGGGATGAACTCATCTGGACATGGATCGCACAGACGAAAATTAATTCCAATTTATTTCGTCCATGGACTAAACTCTCTGTTCGGTTCGTCCCGACGGTTCGTCCCGACCCTTACAGGTTCGTCCAGACGAACCATACAGATTTCTTCACAATTTTCTTCAGTTCGTTCGGACTAACAGTACTAAAAAAAATCAGCTTCGGAGGGGTTTTACAAAGTGAGCCGAGCCGTCTCGAGCTCAACTCGTTTATGGGCTTGCGAGCCGAGCTTATCGAGCTCACGAGTCGAGCTCGAGTTTGAGATTGAGCCGGCTTGGATGGTGATCTCATGAGCCGGCTCGAATAAATATTAATATTTAAAAAATAATTTTATTTTATTTATTAAATTTAAATATTAAAAAAATTAACAAAAATCACTAAAGTTTTATTTAAATGTTAAACATTTCATATATATATATTTTTAAATCCCGCATAAGTTTTAAAAATCCCACTTAATTTTTAAAATCCCGCATAAAAATTACCCCCATGGCTTGCAAGCTGGCTCGAGCTCGTTTACAATGAGACGAGCTCGAGTTCGAACTCGCTTTCCAACTAACGAATCGAGCTCGATAAGAGCCTAATCTCGACTCAACTTTTGTTTACCTCTAATTGAAGCACTCTGAAGCATTTATTGTCATTATCTCATAACAACATCCGCTATCATGTAACAAAGTCCACTTAGTGATTTCTTGTTCAACCAACCAATCAAATGGCTATTTCTTTCTGTTTTTAATGTCATCCATATTCATGTTGAAAATATTTATGCCATTGGTGCTCCCCGCCCTGTACATCTTAGTGCAGATAATATCTTATTCACCAATCTCAAGATGTTCACTGCCTTCTTGAAGTTCTTGCATATACGGTGTAGACAGTGATGGTTTGCAGCATATGGAAACACCTCTTTTCATCCTTGAACAATTCTTAAGTGTTGCAGAGATGAGAATGCTTAGGTGGATGATTGACTTTACTCTTAGAGATAGGATACGAAATGAGCATATATGTGAAAGGTTGGAGTAGCTTCAGTGGAAGATAAGATTATAGAGAGTCGCTTTAGATGTTTCGGTCACATTAAACGGAGACCTTTCGATCACCCGGTTAGAAAAGTTGAGGTATTAGATTTGACTTATGTTAAGAAAGATATAGGTAGACCTAAAAAAAATTGGTTAGAAAATATTAGAAATGTTCTTTCTTTATTAGATTTAAATGAGAATTTGACTTTTAAGAGGACACAATGACAAAAAGAATTCATGTAGCTGACCTCACGTAGCGAGACAAAGACTTGATGTTGTTGTTATTGTTGAATGTGTAATTTGGAAGTGAAACTTCAGGTTATTTCAAGAACCCCGACGCCACACAATCAACTCTGGATGCGGAAGGGTGGCTAAGGACTGGGGATCTCTGCTACTTCGACGAGGATGGCTATCTCTTCGTTGTTGATCGCCTCAAGGAATTGATAAAATATAAGGGATACCAGGTGAGCACCATCTCACCGTCCATCTTATCATCACATTTATATTTGATTTTCTCTTGATTATTCTCCACCGTCTGATCAATGCCAATGCATTGCCTTGCCTTGCCATTTTGCTTGATCACAGGTTCCTCCTGCCGAGCTAGAGGCCCTCCTGCTGACCCACCCAGAGATAACCGATGCCGCCGTGATCCCGTACGTTTAAAGCTGTTTGTTTCTCCGTCTACGATTCAAATCGTCGAAAAAAAAGATTATTTTGTTGTTTGGTAATACCGCTTCTTCAAAATAACTTCCGGTGAACCTCCTATTTCCGCCAATTTGAGAAGAAAATTTTCCATTTGCCGTTCTGAAAGCTCAGAGCATTAAAATGAGCTCTATTGTATTTTAAAGAATGCTAATTTTATAAGAAAATTGGATTAAAATGTTAATGTGCAGGTTCCCGGATAAGGAAGTGGGGCAATATCCAATGGCGTATGTGGTGAGGAAGGCCGGCAGCGGGTTGTCGGAGACGGCAGTGATGGAGTTCGTCGGAAAGCAGGTGGCGCCGTACAAGAAAGTCCGGCGGGTGGCGTTTGTCAAGGAAATCCCGAAGAACCCATCGGGAAAAATTCTGCGGAAGGATCTCATAAAGCTTGCCACCTCCAAGCTCTAAACAATTACGCGACTTTTCCTTTTCGGCTACAGTTTCTTCATGGGATCAGAATGTTGAAAATCGAAATGGCATATATATCTGCAGTTATGAGAGATTGTAATAGTTTTTGGACATTTTGGTGGCTGTAGTTACAGAACTGTAAGAGTGTTTTATAAGACCATCTCTCTTTCTTATTTTTTAACTTACTAGAATATTGTACATCAGTGATTACTTATTGGTTAAAAAATAAGATCCAGGTTTTTTTGGGTTGGCTTTCTTAATATTTTTTAAAATAATTTTCTGTTACAAAATTTTTTAGTTCAAAAAATTTTCTTAGGGTATGGCTGAAAGTTCTTTTCAGATTAAAATATCTCCATTTTATGTAAATAGTATTTATGGCATCTCCAACCGATAACTTCATTTTTCACGGCAAAGTAACGCAAAACTTCAAAATGGCGTGGTGATGCTCCAATCGAACGCCATTTTAGATGTTTCTAGGAAGGTAATGATCGCTCTCCCTTTCGCGCGTTTTTCCGGTTGAGAGCAGAAAATGGCGTGAGTGAATAGTGCGACGCCAATATTGGCGTCACACTGTTCACATGCAATGAAATGGCGGAAATTTTCGCGTTCGGTTGGAGCGACGGAACGACTCCATACACTCGTTTAGCGTTCGGTTAGAGATGACCTTAAGGAACATTCAACCAAAAAACCTCCGTCTTTTTAGAATTTACAAACCTTCTTCTTCTTAGTGCATTCCTTGCCTACATCGATCGTCATTTGTGTGATAGGTACATTAAGGTTCTAAGGGATAGTTTATGTCTCGTTGTCCACTAGATAGTAAAGGTTAGTGATGTTAATTATATTTGAAAAATGTAATCAGCACTTTAAACCTAAAACCAATAATGATGTTAGACATCACATTACATGATTCAAATGTTTATCACTCCATGCTCAAATCTGATTCAAGAATAGTATCAACCTTGATTGAACCCTAGTCGAGCCTTAATCAAACCCTGATATAGCTTATTTATACGCTATATTCAATTTACCTCTCTGGAGCCTTGATCAATTATATACCAAAATTTGTTCTAAAATTGGTTGAACCTTAGCTAGGTACTTCTGAGCTCATTGTGTTCAACATTGGAGGCAATGACATATCATTTGGTTTTATTGAATTAAACATTGATCATCATTTGATAAATGTGTTGATAAATGTTAATACAAATGTGGGTTATTTTGCATCAAGTTTACTATCCCAAATAGACTAACTCATTATTACGTCTTGATGATAACAATGGTTTGGATCCTTATTATCTTGATGATCTTATACATTCACTTTCTTATGTATAAATCATGATAGTTTATTGTGGCACAATTTTTTTAAGGAGTTTAGTTTTAATGTGACTCAAAATTTGGCTTCTACGAAGTTAATGTCATATATAAAATAAAACACATTGTAATATCTTTTGAAAGTTACAAATTATCGCATGCAATTACAAAGGGACAATAGTGTTATTTCATGAGTTACATTTTATTGTATTTTTAATATTTATTATAACTTCTAAAGTGCACTAATGTGTTTTGGTAGTTTTAGAATTACATTGCTCAGTCAGCCTTGAAGTTCTAAAAAAATATGTTGTGGCTTTAGTAGCTTTTGTCAAAATGGTTATTTTCATGAATATATAAAACTAATAGTTCATATTTATGGTTTGCCTTTTTTTAACTCCCACAAACCCGTAAGTAGGAACTTGTGATGGTTTTGAAGATTTCACTCAAGTTGTAGCCAACAACCACAATGTAGGGGAAAAAAAATATTTTGAACCCCCCTTGAAAGGGTTGCACCTCTGGAGGCCATAATTTGAATATCCATCTTGATAGGAAAATTATATTACGAAATGTGTAGTTTAAATATTTGAGGATAGGAGAATTGTTTTAAAAAAATTAAAAAAAAGGATAGGAGAATTGTTTTCCATCAGGAGGACCATGCCAACAATTATCCAATATATGCTTATATGTCTGCTAGAATGTAGATGATATGATACAATCTATTAAAAATAGAAATTTTTTGAAATAAAATTAGATATAAGTGGGCAGAAAGATATACTTTAGTTAGAGTTTAATATTATCTTTCACTTAACAAATGGAACCACATATGATGAGTTGTTCTTATTGCATTTGGAGTTCTTGCTCTCAAATAGTAATTCAAGTGAAAGATTTATTATTGGATTATGTTTGATGTTGGTACATAGGAGAATTTTTAGGACAACACACCATTTAGTTAGCTTAGTTAGCTTACACAACATTTATATGAAGTTCCACAATATTTCATGTATGTTAGTGGAGCAACATCTAAGCATAGAGAGAGAGAGAGACAAGTTTGGAATGCAATGGGATTCCTTTGTAAAATTTAAAACAAAGTGATGATAAGTTCATTTGGGCCATGCATTGTAATTTGATTATACAATAGCTTCCAAATCACAATAAAAAAATCTCATAATATATGTGGATTCAAAGGAAATCCAAAGGGAGTTCAATGCTCTTTGTAGGTATGATTATAATTTTAGGCTTTGTTTGAGGCAACTTTTTTACTACTTTATAAAATAGCTTCTAGTACAAAAATATATTGAACTAGAAATTTTTGTACTAAAAAATTATTTTAGGAAAATATTAAGAAAGCCACCCCAAACGAAGCCTTACTCAAAACTAATTACAAATACGACAATACATGTTTTAGAGAGAAGAAAAGTTTGAATAATTGAAATATTATTAGAAGATGATCCCTATGGGGAATTTAAAAAAGAAAATGTTACTATTAATGTTATTGTAAGAATATTGTAAACTAATAGTTAATGAAATGAGGTAATATCATTGATTGATTATGGAATGATATATTGGCTGTAATTATGGTGCGTAATATCTTTAGTTTTATACTTTGCTGCATCTATCTTATTTATTATGTCATAGTTGCTGTGAAAGCTCTCTATTATATTATAGTTTCCGACAAGGGTGGATCTAGCCCTTTTTTTTAGGGTAGGCAAATTCAATATATAAAATTTTTAGATTAGAGCATTAGCTCTACAAAAGATACTGTGTTCAAATTTTCTTTTGTTGAAGTACAAGTAAAAAAAAAAAAACATAAATAAAATTTGTACAATTACAAATGAATGAAATTAATAAAAACAAAAAGTTTGATTAGAAAAATAATGTTATGCATTGGTGTAAATAGAAAAATAGAGCATTAAAAACATATCATCTTGAAAAAGAACGGTTCAATTGGATAAAAGTTACCTTAAATGAGCGAGGATGCCAGTTGCGACAGTGCGACTGCAATTATGCGAAGATGAAGGCTGCGGCCTGCGAGAATGGTGACATTTTAAAACCAGCGAGAAAGCTAAAGGGCCGAAGGCTGCAAGTCTGTGACTGCGAAGAGCCGACGACGGAGGTTGGCTGCGAAGACAAGGGCTACGATTGTCTCTTGCGAAGAAGAAGGTTGCAAAGACGATTAACGAAGGCTTGAAAGATTAAGGCGGCGACCTCTTCAAGGCGGCTGGAAAAAGCGATTTTAGAACGGATGGCGAGTGGGTAGGCATGCACATGATTGATAAATTTATAACCAAAATTATTTTTGAAGAGGAGGGGGTATTTCCAAAAAGACCCCTCTAATATATATATATATATATATATATATATATATATATATATA